TTGAGCTCCAGAGTCGCTAAATGGGACTCGAACCGAACGTGTGACCCCACTAATGGACTGCTCTCCGAACGAGGAATCCATTGGTGGGGTCACACGTTCGGTTTGGGTCCCATTTAGCGACTCTGGAGCTCAAAACGCGTCTAGAGTTTTGTCCGCCTCCGCCGGTCTTCTGGCCCACTGTGCGCTGCTGGCGAGCAGGGAATGGTGGGAAGATGCAAGCGTCCCATGACACCTTGGCGGTCAGCCAATGCCAGCTGTCACGTCCGGAAAGGAGGGGTGGGGGGAAGACGTAGGGCCCAACTACGGCCAAAAAAAATGACAAGCGAGAAAGCCCCGGAAAATCGCAGTGGAGAGCCTGCTGCGGGGGGAGGCTAAGCGCCGTGCGGGTAGGCAATACCGCACACTGCAGTGTAGAGGCCGGTCGGGTTGCCTACCCGCCACTTCACAGGCGCTCCTCTCGGCAACACCAAAATAAAACAAAACACTGACAACGTTATAGTCATGACTGGGAGCGTCATTTTCGGTAAGGTTAGCTTCATGGCCTAAATTTCAGCAGGGATTTGTGTTTGTCGAGCAAAAAGGATTGACATCCTATCCTTGGCTCAAATTTAGGCACAAAAGCCTTTCCTCGCAGCCAAAATTCATGTTGTGAATATGAATTTTTTGAAGCTCTGAGCCCCTAAGCCCTAGTAAGAGGCGCGCGCGACAAGGCGGATGGACCAGCAGCTTTGACAGTACTCGACTGTATCTTATCGAAGCGGATCGGGAGTCAGCGGTTCGTCTTCGGCGAGGTCTCGAAGCGCAGCCCCCCCCCCCTTTCCCCTCCCTCGCGCGCGCTCATGCATACGCGAGTTGAGTTGAGGAAGGGGAGGACGGACATCACCTGATCGGCGCTCGTATCGCGGCGGGTCTAGCCGGACCGGCCCCGCCGCCGCCACACTGCCACGCCCGGCATTGTTTTGGATTATCTCACAGATAGAACGGGGATGCAAATAAACCGGCGTCGAACGCGCTCCAGTCGTAATGGATGCAACGCGGCGAGATGATGGAAGACGGCGCTGCTTCGCTGCCACACTGTTCCGGAGAAAGCAACAAGCTGGTCTGGTTTGTTGTTGCTCGGCGGGAGTTACTGCAGAGTCCTCGCATGTAAACCAACGAGCGCCACAGCTCGGCGGTCGCAGAATCTCAACTTTTGTAAAACCAGCCGGACGTGCTAAACTTTTTTTTTTTGCAGTGTATGACACTAGGAAAACGAGCGTGATTGAAACAGGCGCGCCCATCCCATCCATCGGCCGCACCGGTGCCTACACTGGTGGCTACACTGGTGGGCACGCGGCGCGGCTCGCAGTCGGTAAAGCCTCCCGACCACGACCTCGGTAGCGACGAGCGCGGCGGCTGTTTCCGAACCGGAGGTTTCGTCGTCGCTCTGTCTCCCTCGCGCTCCAAGTCTCCTTCGCGAGGCCGAGAGAGACGGAGCGACGAAAGCACAGTGCCGCGGTCACCGGAGTCCCGCACGCGGTGGCCGGGGTGCCGAGGCCTCCCGTGGGAGTGCCACGGCTCGGCCAGCACGGCGTGGTGCAGCACAGTGGGCCAGAGGACCGGTGGAGGCGGACAAAACTCTAGACGCGTTTTGAGCTCCAGAGTCGCTAAACAGGACTCGAACCGAAGGTGTGACCCCCACCAATGGATTCTTCGTTCGAAGAGCAATCCATTGGTGGGGTCACACGTTGGGTTCGAGTCTCATTTAGCGACTATGGGGCTCAAAACGCGTCCAGAATTTTGGCCGCCTCCACCGGTCTTCTGGCCCACTGTGCGAAGCGACAGCGATCCGGGAAGCCCGCGGGCTGCCATTGGGCTGCCATTGGGCCCCGCGGGGGGCAGTACGGCGGCAGTCTGTCTCTCTCGCACCCAGCCGGGACGCCCCGTGAGTGCGAGAGAGACGGAGGCAGGGGGCGTGGCCGTGCGCGGCACTACCGGACCACACAAATCGGCGCTGTCCGGTGGGCCACCTGACTCACGCGGCTCACGCGTGCGGTTCGTATGCAAAGGCACACCTGGCTAACGCGCTGACGCCGGCGAGTTTGGACCTCCCTGCAGACTGATTCCGAGAGCCGTCTCCCTCTCGCACCTACGCGGGACGCCCCATGAGTGCGAGAGAGACAGAGCGACGACTCTCGGAGTCAGTCTACTGCCCTGCCGCTTGCTGCGATGCTGCCCGTCGCGGATGCCCTCACCTTGTAGGCACACCGTAGGAAACCTTGCCGAGAATTCGGCGGCATGAGCCAAATCCAAAACGCACCGCGCGACACAATGTTCATGGTGTAGTAGTGCATACCGGAACAGACGGCCTAAAACGTCAAAGTGGTCTTGAAATAATTTCCGGGGCCTCCCGCTGATTTTCCCCGCACCGCCCCGTGTGTGTGTGCGCGCGCATGTTAGTGTGTGTGTTTGTGTCTGTGTCCGTGTTCGCGGTGTGTGTGTGGGCGATGGCGGCAAAGGGGAGGCAGTTAGCGGGGCAGCCTTGGAGCCACCGCGCCGCGCCGCGCCACGCGCGCCACGCAGCGATTGAAGCTCGGAGCCACGCAGCCACGGAGCCATGCACTGATGATGGCCCGTAATGGGTCTCCTTGCGGCCTCCTTTTTCCTTTTGCACTCCTTTTCGGCCTTTTCGGCCGACAGTGGCGTGGGCGGCGACGCGCGGAAGCCATTTGGCGAGTGCACGGAGCCACGCGCGTCGCCCGCCACCTCTGGTAACTCAACTTGCAGCCGAGCAACACCCCGGGCGTCTCACGGTGGGCCAAAACTCTAGGCGCGTTTTGAGCTCCAGAGTCGCTAAATGGGACTCGAACCGAACGTGTGACCCCACCAATGGATTCCTCGTTCGGAGAGCAGTCCATTGGTGGGGTCACACGATCGGTTCGAGTCCCATTCTGAGACTCTGGAGCTCGAAACGTCAAGTCATGCCTCGGTTTTACCAGGCAAAGTGCAAACTTTTCATAGAGGCCGATGCACCAACAACTTGCTTCATAGCTCAGCCGTGCAGGCGGGGCGGGGGGGCGGGGCGGGGCGGGGCGGGGCGGGGCGGGGCGGGGGGGTCGATCGCAGATACGGTGACAGTAGCTCGAGCACGTTTCTGCAGCGCAAAGTCACTGCCGCACGCCACTTAAAAGTTCTTGCCTCAGTTCCAGCCGACCGGGCCAGAAAAGTGTGGAACGGGGCATTCCGCTGCCGCGTCGCTCCGTCTCTCTCGCACCCGCGGGGCTCTCCTTAAGGGTGCGAGAGAGACAGAGCGATGGAACGACTCCTTGGAACGGCTCCGCGGTGCGCGAGCGACCCGTTAACGCCGAGTTCTGCCACGCAAAACACGGCCTGCGCAAATACACAGCGCGGTCGCCGTCAAGCGGCAAACCTCGCCAAAGACTGGCTTACAGTGTCCGCACCGCGCCGCGCGGTCCGTCTGCAGACCGGCCGGCTGGCCAGCCTTTCCAAAGTGCGGCCACAAAGGAGTTTATGGGACATTGGCAGGAGCCTAGCGCTGCGATCCCAGCGCGCCAAGGCGTGCCGTGGCGGGGCGGGGCGGGGCGGGGCGGGGCGGGGCGTACCGCGGGCTGCTCGGTGGAGTGCAGCGCCGTGCAGCGCGGGTCGCTGACATCGTTACGTCACGCTGCGCTGCCTAGGGGGCCGCAGAATTCTTAGGAAAGGGGGCTAGGGGGGAGGGGGGCTGGAAGGACCCAGGATTCCTTTGGAGGGGGGGGGGCTGCCGGCCCCAGGCCCGCGCGCCAGCCCGGCACGCCGCCAGGCACTCACCTGGTCAGGTTGTGCCCGTTCCGAGGCACGCTAACGTTCCCCCTCCCACCCCTTCCCCCGGGCCCCACGAGACTCCTTGACGGGCCCCTGGTTGTGACCGATTTGAAAGGCTGACCCTGAACCAGACCCAGAGGAGCCAAGAAGCCCCGCCGTACTCCATGCCGAACGCCCTGCCGAAGGCCTCCCGAAGGACCCGCCGAGTCAGTCAGACCGGGCGCCTCGTTCGTCTTCGTCTCCGCGTCCCACTGCGCATCGCCGGCCGCCCGTTTTTCCTTAATCCTTTCTAATTTTATTTCTTATCTCGAGTGGCGGCATTTATACCTGCGCCTGATTTATTCGGATGTCACCGGCGACGGCCGAAGGCGATAATCGTCGTCGACAAAAAATACGACGCGGAACTGGCGCCGCGCGGACTGTGATCCCCCGGGACCACGCGGGGACACCATTTTGTTTTGTTTTTATTTATTTTTGTTTTTAAAATTTTGCGGCGAAACAGAGTGCGAGCACCTGCAACACCGCGCCTCGTGCCGTTGGCAGTGCATCTTTCTCTGTCGCTCCTTTCCCTTGGCCTGCCCCACACACGCACACACACACACACACACGGCCGCCTCGACGCAACAAGCGTGCGAATGAAGACAATGGCCGAGTGGGTCGCTTCGCGCTGCAACGCCGCACCACCGCCAGGCACCGCAGCCCAGCCAGCATCCCCGTGGGACTCTAACTAACTGCGAATAGTTTGCCGAGATTTGTAGCGGGACGCGACTGCAGAATACATTTCAATTATTACCTCGTCGCGTTTTGAATCTGAATGTCAATGAGGAGCAGGCGCGCCTTGAATGTGAACCATAGCGCACCTGGCGCAAGCACCGCCTGCAGCAGGTGCACTGGAGTGCATTATTCCAGATTCAAGGAAAAGCTAAGGAATTGATTTTCACTCAGCTGCAGTCGACAGTATCGTAACACGTTTTACATCAAAATGTGGTTTTTCTAACGTACAGAGACGTCCGTTTTTCTGCTCTCTTGAAGTCTTGCAGCGAAAGGCTGCGCTCCAACGTGTCACGCACTATTGTAAGTGACAACAAATATTTCACCGTGCATATAAGGAGGACTTTTCTCCATGATGCGAAGACCTTTCACAAGTGACCCTGAATGATCCCGAGTTCGACCAACGCGGCCCGGTCGTCGCTACTCACCGATCGTCTTTATAATTTCGAAGTCCTCCAGGCCCAGCAGGTCCTTCTCGCCGTCCGAGTCGCTGTTGTCCGAGGCCGTGGCGGCGTCCTTGACGTCCTTGAGGCACACGGCCGGCTCGCGGCGCAGCACCGTGGAGGACGCCATCCTGCCGACCAAGCCGATGTAGCGGTGACGCACAGTGGGCCAGAAGACCGGTGGAGGCGGTCAAAGTCTCGGACGCGTTTCGAGCTCCAGAGTCGCTAAACAGGACTCGAACCGTGCGTGCGACCCCACCAATGAATTGCTCTCCGAACGAGGAATCCATTGGTGGGGTCGCACGTTCGGTTCGAGTCCTGCTTAGCTACTCTGGAGCTCAAAACGCGTCCGGGAGACGAAGGTCGGCGGTTCGAATCCCACCAGCGCGCCGTTCCCTTCCTACCGTCGAGGCGTAACCGGTGCGGCGCGACCCGGCCTCGGTAATCGAGTTGATGCACGGATAGAGCAGTGGAGTGAGCAGTTTTCTCTCGATGCCCCACTTCTAGGCGGGGCCCTCGCGCGCCGCCATTTCGCGATAGCAACAATGCAGGCAGTGGCAAGCAGGCTCCGCGTGGCGCCGCGCTGCATCGCATTGTCAGACAAGTTCTGGCGTGGCTAGCCTCGGCGACACATTTCCTTGCGAAACGGCGGGAATGGTCGCTTTGGACACGAGCCCGCGCCTTGTTGCACCGCGACACGCTGACGGATTAAAGAGGGAAGTCCCTTGCTCCGTCAGCAGGGTGCACACACTGGGAAAAGAACGCGTCCGTAAACGCTGCGCGGCACAGATTTTGATGGATTGTCTGCAGTTTTTCGATAGTGGGTCAACCTCAAAAACTGTTTATCGCGACCCTATATTGAAACGGGTTAGATTTTTGCGTTTTGAGTCTTCGTTTAGCACTTGACGAAAGCATTTAGAAACCTTACCTTATTGTTCCACGGAGCGCGCTGTCCAAACTATGTGGGTTAATAATCCTTCAGAGGAGGACACTGGCTTCAGTTTCACTGTATTCCATACACATTTTCACTTGGGGCACTTCCCCTCAACACCCGCGGCAGAACACTCACACACACACAATCACACACACAGACACTTGTGGAGGGCCAGGCTCAACAGGTGGCTGGACCGAGCCGCTGACCGGCGCAACCCGCAGCAGCAGCTGGAAACTCGAACGGTGTACTTAGACGTCGCGCCCTCGGCGGTCCGCACACTGTCGGCACTTTTTCCGCGTCGCGTCTGTCCACCGTAAGGCTCTCGCGCGAGTGTGGGCTTCGCGGCCCGTCCCTGTCGCCGACCGCACGTCTGCAGGCAGCGTCTACCGGCAGTGGACTGGCGGCTCTGCTCCTGCCTGCTCTGCTCGCGCCGTGGCCCTGCCGTGCCGTGCCGCCGTGCCCTGCCTGCCCTGAGCGGCGCGGCGTCCGGCGGGCCCCCACTGCCGCCGCGGCCCCCGCGCCCCGCGCCACACCGTGACCAAGTATCAATGAACCCGGCCAAATGAACCAACGGGCCGACCGAAAGGCCTAACCGTTGCCCAGGCCAATTTCGGGAAATGAAGCAACGTGAGTACTTTGGAAATTGTTTTTATTGTTTTTTTGGTATACACGTTTTCCTTGTTGCGGACTCCTAGGACGGGAATACGCACACTCACTGACCGAACGTGTCCGGTGTAAAAGACCTCACTTACAGCGGGTTGTTTGTCTCGGATTGCTTTTTATTGGATTTTGTGACGCCAACGTTCTTTACGACTTGTGAAGAATGGAGGAGTGTGCAGTGCATTGTAGGCGTAGGCACTCACTCACTGAATGTCTTTGGGGAAACTTATGAAAGATGCACTTGCTTGTGTTCAGCTAAACGTAAAATTGCGAATGCACTGCTCCTCGATCTTAAGGTCGTGCGAATCCGGTTCGTTCACGCTTATAGTGTGTAACATTCGTTGAATTTCACATCACATGCCAAATGTATAGTAAGTCAGTTGGTGTGCGCAAATCCGTTCCGAACAGTTGGACAAAATGACAGTCGAGGCGAGGAAGAGAAATCTTAGCTTTAGAAGATGAGGGACGAAACTATAGAAACCATTTGAACAAAGCTCTCCTCGCGAATCGCTTCCAATTATTTTTTTCAGTCCAATATTTACAATAGTTAATGTCTTAATTAGGACGAAAGAGAGTAACAGAATAAATTCTGATCTTACCTACTTAATCTACCATCACAATATCGCTTATAATTACGTGTGCAGGTGATCAGCTAAAAAAACAACAACAACACACAAATCACTGAATCTGGCTATGCTTCTAGAGGCCTCTCGCGGTGGAGCTGGAGGAAGATGCTAGCCTGAAGACATGAAAGTGCACCAAGGCGGTGCCCAGCCGTGCTTCACGTCACTGCAGCAGTTCCTGGAATCAGAGAGTTGCAGTTGCAACATTCAGACAGTCTTACAGTAAATTTGGCCAGAGTGTAGCCTTGATATTATAGAGAAATTGACTCCATTTTAATCGCTAGGCAGTTTTAGTGGTTTTCTTTACACAACTAAAACCAAAGTCGTTCGTATATAAACTTTTTGTGTAGGTGACTCCAAGTTTTTTGTTGCCTTTTCCCTCTGCAAACGCGTGCTTTACCTCGTCCGAGTCGACGAAGAGGGACACCGTGGTCGTCCGGGATGGGTCCGCCTGGATGTGGATGGGGGTCGTGTCTGGCTGCAGCGGGGCCGGCAGGCCTTGGAGGTGCGGGGGCGCCAGCGACGCGTCAGGGGTCACGGGCATGTCGAGCAGGTCGTCATCTTGTTGCTGGTTGTTGTTGAACTTGGCGGCGTCGCCGTCGTTGTTGTTGTTGATATTGTTGCTGGTAGCAATGTTCGTGATGTAGCTAGCAGTAACTGATATGGTGGCGGGGCAAGCGGGCTCCAGGTCCTGGAAAAAGTAAACAAGGGAAGACGAGGATGAATGGACGATGAGCTTCAGGATAGCTCGATACAAATGTTTGATGAGTCTCGGGCGCTACTAGGTGGGCAATGCTCAACTCAAAATAATTCTCTTTTCTCGAGAAGGAAAAGTGCGTCGATTCCCTGTGGGAAATTTATAAGGCGTGTTATGGGGGCTTACAACTTGATATCGACGGTGTGAGGTGCAGAAACATCAGAAAAAGAGTGAACGGCAAGTGACAAAGAGCGCTTGGTGACGAGCGTTTGAATACCCCGCCTTGGCTTCTCTAGCGGCCAGCGATTTACATGAAACATCCCCCCTTCTTTCTCTGCGCTTGAGTAGCGATGAATCCCGCCCCAGGTTGCGCTCAACCGCAAGCTTCATTCCTTTTACACTGAGCAGAGTGTAGCGAAGACTGGGCCTGACTAGCCCCGCCGAGGCGCGCGTGTCCTGTCGGTACACCTACAACCAAAAGTCAACATCTCTGCCGGCATCTTTCCTGACGGGACCCGCCGAAGACCAATCCAGACGGAGACAGGAAAACAAAACACAGAAAACAAAAGAAAAAGAGAGAGTGGGAAGAGCATGCCGAAGACGAGCCTGCCGCCGCTTACCTCTTCATCAGTCGAAGTGTTAATTGATATTCCGAGGTCATCGGCTATCTCCGACAGGTCTGCTATCTCCCTCTCGGTCTGGCTTAGTTGCGAGTACTCGTACGCGCTCTGACTCCTAAAAGCAGAGCAGCGAGTCAGCCAAACCCTTCAACAATTAGCACAACTTTCGGCCGCCTCTCAGTGGGCCAGAAGATCAGCGCAGGCGGCCAAAACTCTAGACGAGTTTTGAGCTCCAGAGTCACGAAACAGGACTAGAACCGCGAGCGTGTGGCCCCACCAATGGATTCCTCGTTCCTTTTGAGTCCTATTTAGCGATTCTGGAGCTCAAAACGCGTCCGGGACCTTGACCAGCTCCAATGGTCTTCGGGTCCACTGCGCGCCACTGCCGTACCAACCTGAGGTGGATGGACCTGTACTTCCTCCAGAAGAAGGAGGCCATGGCAGCGGCGAACAGCACGATGGCGATGAGGATGAGGGAGATGAGGAAGTCCTCGGCGTGGTGCGCGCGGATCTGCTCCCCGTTGAGGGCCGCCGTCATGGCGTCCTCGCTGTGACTGGTCGACTCTATCGAAAACAGGTGCATCAAACTTTGAGAAACCACTACCAAAACAGTCAACCAGCACCACTCCAGTCACTACAGATGCCGCTAGTGCTTCACGGACAAATCGCCGCAGCACTAACAGTGCACTCTCTCAAGATCTTCAAGGCAAAAGCAACCTCGTCGATACCCCTCGCGAGGAGTCGGGCCACGCGGCTGGCACTGCCAGAGAGTCTCTCGCGCGCGGGGTAGCGACGGGTCAATTCGTTCCCCGGACGGGATGGTCAGTACGTGCACTGCACATGGGCCAGAAGACCGATGGAGGCGTTTCGAGCTCCAGAGTCGCTAAGCAGGCCTCGAACCGGAAGTGGGACCCCACCAATGGATTACTCGTCCGGAGAGCAACCCATTGGTGGGGTCACACGTTCGATTCGAGTCCCATTCAGCGACTCTGGAGCTCAAAACGCGCCTGGAGTTTTGGCCGCCTCCACCGGTCTTCTGGCCCACCGTGCGCTGAGAGATGGCCAGACTCACTGAAGGAGCCGAAGTACTGCAAGGCGGAAGTCTTCTTGCCGTGCCGCCCGGCCTCGGGGCTCCACGGGGGCGTCGTCGTCGCGGTCGAACCCTCAGGCATCTTGAACTGGACGGCGGGGGGCGGGTGCAGTAGCATATCTGGAATCAAACGGGACAACAAAGTCAGTTCATTCGACCTGTAGTGCGCCATGTACCGCAGGTGGCATCCCACCGTTTCGCGAGGAGGGACAACAACTCTCCACATTCTTTGCACAGATACGTTTTACATTCTGGGGGCAAACAACTTCTGTACGTAGGTAAATTGCGTGGCAAACGCATCCGTAACCTTGTTCGTTCCCGCCCGTATGTATCGCACACAAAATCGTTTGCACTTCGCCGTTTCGCCAGAGCGTTTTACACATGTATCGTGCACGCCCCACATTTAGCCCCTTTGTTAAGCCTCATTACGCAGCTGCCAGTCCGCATCTCACTCCACTGAATCACCGCGAAAAGTTCCTTAGTTTTGGTACGGAAAATGTACGAAAACAGGGGTACGTAAAGAATAAGGACTTCCGCACTGCTTCTGCGTAGTCCCCATAAGGACGTTAACTGGTGCGGGAAAGAGGTACGGAGCTGTAGTTGGCAAGGTACGAATGGTCTGAGTAAACAATTGACGAGACAAGTTCCGTCCTCTTCCTCCACCAGTGTAACCTCAACCGCCTGGGCACAACAAACACACGTCTGGCTGGGGCCGCCCTAACCTCAACTCGTGCACTGCTCCCACACTGCTTCCGCGTCGCCTCGGCATGGGCGCCACTTGCCACCCACCTTGCCACCCAGCTTGCCACTCACCTGGCGAATCGGTGGGCACGCGATCGGCGGTCCGGACGTCCCCGTCGACGCGGCCCTCCCGCTCGGCCGCGCTCCCCAAGCTGCAGCGCCACTAGTGGCCACTAGCAGCAGGTGCACTCGGGGGCCACCAGGTTGTGGCACTGGCCGTGGCGCGGCGCACGCAGTGCCACGCACGCGCACGGACGCACGCGCACGCACGCTGGCCGCCACGCGCCTGGAAGGGCGTGCGGTGGCTCGGAGGAGGTAGGGCCACCTGCCTGCCACAGGCCTGCCACCCTGCCGCCCTGCTTGTGCGCCGTCCGCGCGCCCGCGGCGCCGCCAACCCCACGGCGCGGGGCGGGGCGCGCGTCCACGACGGGGAGGTCTCCGCGGTGGCGGTCACGGCGCCCGCGGACTCGGGGTGGTCTGGCTGGACGGAGGCTCGGCGTCGACGTCGCGGATGGCGGCCAGGACGGCGACGGACGCACCCCCCTCGCGCAACCCCCGTTGGCACCCCTGCGAGCGCCAGCCCCGCGGCGGGCGGCGGCGGAGCGCCGGCGAGTGGCGCCCCTGGCGGTGGCCGACGGAGGCGCGCCGGGTCGATAACGCCGCCGTGCGCCCCACCCCGCCCCGCCCGCCCCGCCCCGCCACGGGGGCGGTGGGCGGCCGCGGAGGTGGCGGGGCGGGGCGCGGCGGGCTGCAGATACGGAAGTGCCACCTCCTCCGGTTTTATCGCGCGGTCCGACCATGTTCCAGGTTCCAGGTGTGGCCAGCCTGTCACGGGGTGTCCGTCAGGGCGCGGCGCGGTGCCTGGCGCGGCACGGCGTCGTCGGGGTGGCAGGCGGAAAGCAGGCAGCAAGCAGGCCGTCAGGTTCGGCGGCCGGCCGCACTCCTTCCGCGCTGCCGACACCCAATCACGACCGCGTCTTTCATTTAACGAGGGTCTTTGCGTGCGCTTTCCTTGGACTAACAGTCTTACGTTGAAATTAGAACTGGAATAAAGTGAGCAGCAAAATTAATGTCCCTATTTTTGGCGGGTCGCCATTTTTTTTTCCGGCTCCGGCGCAGCCCTTAAGCCCTTCCCTAGGGGGCGGCGTGGCGCGGGTGAGTGATGGCCAGTGACCCAGATATCAAGTTATATTTTCTTTTTGCGCGTGCTGGACAAGGCCGAGGGCTGCGCGCCGGCGACCCGCGGGACCAGCGGGACCAGCGGGACCAGCGCCACGCCGGGGGACGTATCGCTAGCTCGCCGTCACGGCCGCCCCCGAGGCCGCCCCCGAGGCCGCCCCCGAGGCCATCGACGGCGTGAAGGAAGAGGCAGCAATCGCTCAATGTATCGCTAATTCCGCTGCTGTGACTACCAAAGAGTCACCTGGGCTGCAGTTCGGCGGCAACTTCTCCAGCACACTGAGAGTCGTTTCCGTCGCTCTGTCTCTCTCGCACCCATGGGGCATCCCCGTATAAGTGCGAGAGAGACGGAGCGAGGAACACGACCCGGGGAATCAGTCAAGCGCCGCCGAACGGCAGTATTAATTGTGTAGCGACTGCGGGGTGCGTCCGCTGCCGCCTCTTGGTGCCGCCCACGCCGAACGACACGACGGCAAGGCACGGCATGGCACGGCATGGGCGGCGAACAAGTCGCGAAACAATGGCGGCATGCTGGCGAAAGGTCTCCGGAGAATTCCTAATGTCATCGGGGAGTCAGCAGCGTCTTGCGCGCCAGTTCCTTGGATTGGGGCGGGGCGGGGCGGGGCGGGGCGGGGCGGGGCAACCCCGCCGGAGCAGCCCCTGTAGCGCGGTCGCACACTGCCGAGGCACTAAGGCTGGTTAGGCCGCTGCGATCGTAGCGGGCCGCGGTTTCTGACTGTGCCACCTCGTGGACTTTCGCACAAGCATCCTGTTGTACAACGCAGGCCTCCTCATGGGCGGGCCGGGGATGGGCCAGCAGGCGGTGCGGCGAGAGCACCACCAGAAACTTTCTTGCTTTCCCCCTGCCTCTCTCCAGCCCCACCCCAGCGCCACTCCAGCACCGCTCCAGCGCCGCCCGGAACGGCCAAAAGTCCGCGAGACGTTTCAGTAATATCTAATGGAATCTACTCACCCCGTTCCCTCCCGCGCGCCCCTCCGGAGGCTAGCGGACCCTCCAGCAGACCCTTCGCTGGAGCCTCCAGCCGGGGACATGGATAGCTGAGTACCAAGAGGTGTAGCCTGCTCCCCCCCCCCCAAAAAAAAACAAGTTACTAGTCAGGGGAAGGCCTTCGGCCTCGCTGCTGAGCTGGATTTTGCTGGAGATGGAAATGCATTTTCGTAAGTAGTAAATCAGAAATTGTTTATTTTGAAAATTATTGACCTCGGACTATTGACCTCGAACTATTGACCTCGGACTACTGACCTCGGACTATGTATACATATATAGGTATAAGATTAAGATCAATAATAAGATACCTATTGTAAACTAAAGGTATCCGGGGGGGAGGCGGACAATTTGAACGTTTAAATTCCCCAACAGGGTGCTTCGCTTCGCTCAGCAATGAAAATGGGAACACCTTTTTTTTTACTTGCGAAATAACAGACATTTTTTTTCCTTCGTGAAATTGTTTTTCCGTGCTTCACCTTGCCGGAGCCTGGCGGAGGGGGTGGACAGGGCGCCGCACTAGGGGAGGCCGCGGCGTGGCGTGGCGTGGCGTGGCGTGGCGTGGCGTGGCGTGGCGTGGCGTGGCCCGTGGGGGCCGGACGCGGACCGCGACTCTCGCCTATTTTGGGAGCTTGACAGAGGACGGGGCTGACACCAACCAATCCACGCGCGGGCCGAGCGCGCCGAGCACGCCGAGCGCGAGCCGAGCGGAATGAAATAGGAGGAGCCGCCGCCTGCTTTAAACTTTCGTCATTTTGGCGCCCCAAAGTTTTAAGTTTGTCCAGGGAGCGAGGAATAATGCGGGGAAGATTGTGGAAGAATTGATGTCCTGCGATAAGTGAGATTGACCTCGCCACTGTAATTTCGGGAGGGGTTTCCGGAGGGGTAGACCCTCCCCGTGCTGCACCCACTTACCCGGAAAAAGGCCAGCCGGGCCGCGCTGCCGCGCACGATGCGATGCGGGCTTGAAAAATAACGTCAAGCTGTCCCAAGCCAGCCCAAGCTGGCCGGCCCAAGCTCGAAGCTCGGCTAAAGCTTTTATCGATTGATCGTTGCAGTCTCATTCGGCGCCTGCACGGGCAACCCTTCGTGGACGTGCTCCCGGCCAGGCCCTCGGCGGCCCGGCCCGGCCCCGCCCCGCCCCGTTAGGCCGCCAGCTGGTCTGTGCCGCCGCGCCGCGCCACGCCCAGTTCAATACGTATCGGCTGCCAGCTCGGCCTGCCGGGCCTGCCAGGAGGGCCCGTTGCGGGCGAGGCGACGCAAACAGCGCAAGTTTCAACTTGACACGAACTTCAAAGTCTATTGGCTGTCGGCAAAAGTCCCCCCCCCCTTTCCTCCGGCCGCGCGTGAGTTTGCGCGCACGTCTTGCAGTCGCCTGGAGGCAGCCTGGAGGAAGCCTGGAGGAAGCCTGGAGGAAGCCTGGAGGAAGCCTGGAGGAAGCCTGGAAAGACTGGAGGGGGCATCGGGTGTCCCGTACCCTCGCATATCCCCGCCCTTTATTCCGTATTCGCACGATCAGGTTCCCCGCCCTGCCAATACACGACGAATTATATTTTCTCCGAGCTTGCAGGATCAAGTACGCAGTCGAATTGGTATTGGAAACTCCTCCCCCTCACTAAGGCTCCCACGGGGGGTAGCTATGCGTGATTAATGCCCTCTGCCATACAGCCCTCTGCCCCCCCTCCCCTTTTCTCCACCCATCCACGTCCTCTGCCAACCGCAGCGACTACCCTCAGCAAACGTCCCCCCCCCCCTCCTTTCCCCGCCACGCTGCCGCAGCTCCGTCAAACCCGCTGCTCGCTGCGGTGCCGTGGCGTCGCGTGGCGTCGCGTGGCCGGCCAGCGAACAGGTGAACAGATTACAAGCAGAGCGAGGCGGGAGCAGCGGAGCAGCATCCCCCGAGGCAGCCACACTGCGAGCCAGCCACCACACTGCGAGCCAGCCCGGGGCAGGGCGCGGGAGATCGGCGCTTGCTCTGTGTGTGTGTGTGTGTGAGTGTGTGTGAGCGTGTGTGTGAGCGTGCGCGCGCGCATGCGAGGTTTCATAAAACCTTGGATCAGGGCATGAAAGCTGGAAGCACGGTGAGCGCCTTGCTCGCCTGCCTCCACTGCGTGCCCACGGCGTGCACCCTGACTGCGCGCAGGCTGCCTGGCTGGCAGAGAGGCGCCAGGGGCGTGGCGAAATCGCGTCCCGGCAAGCGCGTGTGCCAGTGTACCCCCCGGGGGTGCGTTCGTGGGCGTGGTCCGCTCGTGTCTCTTGCACACGGGGAAGGAGTTGCGGAGGAGGCAGTGGCTTTTCGAACGCGCGCTTTTTCTGGTGGCTGGGTGCGGCGCCGCGTGTTGCCCCGCGATATTTGCCTCTCGGCAGAGTCCTTGGCTTCGGCTCGGCTTCGGCTGGGCTTCGGCTCGGCTTCGGCTCAGCTTCGGCTCAGCCTCGGCTTGGATTCGAGTGGGTGACACGAGGGGGTAAACACTTCCGTAATACCCTGTACACAAAAGTCCGGGGCATACACCGGTAATACGCCCAAGAATACAGTGGCCAAGGCGTAGCAAAAAGATGCATTTTTCAATGAAATTGGGGACCACTGGTAATTTGCAAGTGCGAGACCCGTAATGGGAAATAGTTGAAAGGAACGGGCGTCCTCGTGTCCCCCAGCGGGGCCGACAGAGATTTCCTTTCCGTCGCTAATGTCTCTCTGCCCCGCGGTCCGACCCACAGGTGGGGGAGGACCCGAGCGAAAGAGGCGCGTTCGGAGGCCCCGCAGCCACATTGTGCCACGCAGTGGGACTTGGGTGCAAACGGTGGGCCACGTTAAGGTGTTGCCGGTCGTGCGGGCGCGGTAAGGGGTAAGGGGGGGAAGGGGGCCCCGAACGCCCTGCCAACTCCGGTCGTTAAAGAGAGCAACCTAATTCGACGATTTCTTCTACACTCGGTTCGCCACCTCGAAAAAACGACGAGGCGCGGGTTTCCCCCGGACCCCCATTTACCATGGTATTTCAGGGAGCGAGAAAACCCGGAGGCGTTTGGGCCCTGGCGTGCGG